AAGAAAGAAAGAAAGAAAGAAAGAAAGAAAGAAAGAAAGAAAGAAAGAAAGAAAGAAAGAAAGAGAAAGGAAGGAAGGAAGGAGGGAAGGAGGGAGGGAGGGAGGAAGGAAGGAAGGAAGGGAAGGAGAAGGAGAGAGAGAGAAAGAAAGAGAGAGAGAGAAAATGCATAACCATACTAGAAAGCAAGAAGGGGCTCTATCAGGGACATGGAAATTACCAGAAGACTCTGAAAGATAGAGAGCAACTGGGACTAGATCAGAGTAAAGGCATCAACCAACATGGCCGCAGACTGTAGGAGCACTCAGGATGTGCTCAATACCCACAGTACAAGAAGTGGAAGCAGAATGGGGCTGGCAACGGACTACAGGAGAAGGAGGAAGAGGAAAAAAAGGAGGATAACAAGAGGAAGGAGGAAAAAGAATTCTGAAACTTTAAGACAGATCTTTTGAAATAATCTAGTCAGAAAATAAAATGAGAATAAAAATAAAAGAAAATGAGAATAAAAAAGAATGAGAGCAGCCAAGCGGGAAGGCTCAAGATGGTGTGCCTGTTGGAGACCCCAAGCTGCATGAGCTTCCTTTTGGACCATGAATGAAAGTTACTGGAATTCTCCAGTCCTGTCACTCCAAAGGAGCTACTGTTTACAGATGCCACAGTGACACTGCACCTCATGGCACTGCTTAGCAGGTTCCACTATATCCAGGAGTACCTCTGTCGGATCGTCTCACACTGCTGTAAAGCACCAGATCATCAAACAATTTTATTTAGCTGTGGTGCAGTTAAGAATATTGCTCACCTACTAAGCTCACTCTTCTACAGAGTTCAAATGTAAGCACTGAAATGTTTCTCAGTTTTACCCTGGTAAATGTTTTGGTTGATGGAGAATTGTTATCACAGATTTTTGCGAAGATGTTACAGAGGAATAAGCATATTGAGATACGGTTTACTTCAGCAAAATGTTTAACGTATACAGCTGGAGCAATTCAGACAGATAACAACTGTATTAAGGACATTGCCTTATTTGGTTCAAATGTGCAGTAAGAAGAGACTACTAGAGGAGAGAGTTAAAGGAGCTGAGACACTTGCCTATCTGATTGAACCAGATATTGAGGTACAGAGAATCGCTAGCATAACTGATCACCTCATTGCCATGTTTGCTGACTATTTCAAGTATTCCAACTCGTTGAGTGCCATCACTGATATTAAAAGGCTTGATCATGATTTAAAACATGCTCATGAACTCTGCCAGGCTGCATTCAATCTCTACAGCTCTCATGGAGCAAATGATGAAGACATTCAGAAGAAAAGTCTTGAGACTGAAAATATGATGGACTGAACTGTGACTGGCTTGTCTGAATCTAGTGTCAAGGTGCAGTTACCTGCTGTCAGATGTATGCACCATTTATCGAGATCTATGCAGCAGCTTCAAAACAGTTTCTAGGATCACATTCTGTAAAAACCTTTACTGAAGGTTTTACAAAACGTACCAGATGAAATCCTAGTAGTAGCATCTTCCATGATATGTAATCTTCTTGAATTATCTCCAAGGAAAGAGTCAATTTTAAAATCAGAAGTTGTAAAGCTACTTTGTGGATTAACCCAGAGTGAAAATCCTGCTTTGTGAGTGAGCAGAATTTGGGCTTTAATGAATATGGCATTTCAGGCTGAACAAAAAATAAAAGCAGACATGTTACAAAGCTTGAGTACTGAACAGCTATTCTGGTTATTATCAGATTCAGATTAAAACAGACACACAAACGAGAAAAAGAAAGTAAACAAAGCTTAATACCACAGAAAACCACTGAACCAAAGGTAAACAGTAAGAGAGGAAGAAAGGAAAAAAGAATCTACAAAACAGCCAGAAAACAATCAAATGGCAGGAGTACATCCTACTTATCAATAATAACTGTGAATATAAATGGATTAAATTATCCAATTTAAAGTAAGCTCTTGAATGGATTTAAAAACAACACTATGCTGCCTATAAGAGATGAGCCTCACCGGTAGACAAGCATAGACTGAAAGTAAAGGAATGGAAAAAGATATTTCATGCAAACAGACACCAAAAGTGAGCAAGAGTACTCATACTCCTGATAAAGGATAAAAGAGATAGACATTTTATCAGATAAAAGAGACTTTAAGTTAAAAACTATAAAAAGCAAGAAGGGAGGTCATTAATGACAAAGGAATCAATTCAACAAGTGGATTAACAACTGTAATTATCTATACACTCAACACTGAAGCACCCTAATATATAATGAATATATAATATTATGAATAATATATCATGAAGCACCCTAATATAATATAAATGAATATTATTAGATCTAAAAGGAGAGATAGATTGTAATACAATAACAGTAGGGTACTTCAGCACCCCCCTTTCAACAATGGACAGATCATCTGGACAGAAAATCAAGAAAGAAACATTGGACTTAGGCCAGGCATGGTGGCTTATGCCTATAATCCCAATGCTTTGGCAGTCCAAGGCAGGAGGATCACTTGAGGCCAGGAGTTCAAGATTAGCCTGGGCAATACAGCAAGACCTCTTCTCTATAAAAATTTTTTAAAATTAGCTGATCTCGGTGGCACATGCCTGTAGTTTCAGCTACTCAGAAGCCTGAGGCAGGAGGATCACCTGTGCCCAGGAGTGACCTATGATCACATCACTGCACTCCAGCCTGGATAACAGAGAAAGACCCTGCCTCTATAAAACAAAGAAACAAACAAACAAAAAAAAACAACAATCAAACAAAAAACAAGAAACATGAAACATCAGACTTAAACTGCACATAGACTAAATGGACTTAACAGACATGTACAGAACATTCCACCCAGCACTGCAGAATACATATTCTTCTCTGGAACATGGAACATTCTCCAGGATAGATCATGTATGTACTAGGTCACAGAATAGGTCTTAACAAATGCAAGATGATTGAAAGTATTTCAAGAATTTTCTTATTGACCACAATGATATAAAAACTAGAAATCAATAACAGAAGGAACACTGCAACAGAAGTACAAATGTATGGAAATTTAAAAACATGCTTCCAAATAACCACTAGGTCAATGAATAAATTAAAGAGGGAATTTTAAAATTTATTGAGGAAAAATAAGAGTGGAAACACATTGTACCAAAACCAATGGGACACAGCAAAAGCAGTTCTAAGGGGGAAGTGTATAGCCATAAACATCTACATTAAAAAAGAAGAAAGATTTCTAATAACCTAATGACACACCTCAAGGAACTAGAAAAACAGGAACAAACCAAACCCCAAATTGGTAGAAATAAGAAAGTAATAAAGTTGAGGGCAGAAATAAATGAAACAAGGCCAAGAAAAGCAATTTTTATTTCATTTATTGTTTATTTCTTTTTGTGATGGAGTTTTGCTCTGTCACCCAGACTGGAGTGCAGCGGTGTGATCTCAGCTCACTGCAACCTCTGCCTCCCAGGTTCAAGTGATCCTCATGCCTCAACCTCCCCAGTAGGTGGAATTACAGGCTTCCACCACCATGCCCAGCTAATTTTTGTATTTTTAGTAGAGACGGGGTTTCACCATGTTGCCCAGGCTGGTCTCCAACTCCTGACCTCAGGTGATCCACCTGCCTCAGCTTCCCAACGTGATGGAATTACAGGCGTGAGCCACCACACCAGGCCAAAAAAAAAAAAAGCAATTTTTAAAAAATTAGCAAAAAAGAGTTCTTTTTTCTGAAAAGATAAACAAGATCAACAAATCTTTAGCTAGACTAACAATAAAGGGAGAAGATGCAAATAAAGTCAGAGATGAAAAAGGATAC